TATAAATGGCTATGAAAAATAGACCTAATAGTTGCTGAAATTCAACAGAAATATTTTTTAACAGCATTTTTTGTTTGTTTGTTCACTTTGCTTTTGTGTGGGTGGGTTTTTTTTTAATGAATTTTAAAGCCTTTAGGCAGGACATTAATTTTCTTGTTCTCCACAGGCCCTTCCGCCACCTAACATCACCAATTTATCTTAGCTTCCTGACCCTGAAGGGATTTTCCCAATCCTGACTGAAGCCATTTGCTCTTTTTCCAGATTCTGCTTAGCCAGCTTGGCATGGACTCACCACGCTGTCTATTCTCTCTAAAATGTAGACTGGCACTCAAGGCATACTGCATGCTCAAAGCTAAAGACATTCACTTATTTCTGCCTCTAAAAGTTGAGTGGCACATTTACCAAGAGTGGTCTTATTTGTTCCCCCAAGCAATGTGTGACCAGTTCTTTTTTGTAATTACATAATTTAAATAAAATTTGTATAAATTGGTGATTCATGAGTAAAAAAAAGATAAAAGAATTGTTCAGAGCAAACTAATTTGAGTACCTTGGAAACATCCAATGAAGGTAACTTGCCAAATTTAAATTAAATGTGGGTGAGGCAAATTTAAAAGATCGGAAAAAGATCATAAAGATCTAAAAGCACTCTATTTTCAGATAGCATTGAAATGGCTTACAAGTCTAGTTCCCTTGTAAAGAAACTAAAACTAGGATTCACGGAGGGTTTGTTGTGGGCCTGAATGTCCATGTGGAATACCATCAGTAGACCCCTTCTGAGAAAAGAAGGCTTGGCAACTCATGCACACTTGTGTATCTTAAGTGACAATAAATGAATATGGTATTAATGTATTATTCTTCATGAGTCTCAGTTTTAACCAAATTTTTGATCTACTGAATACCTGTAAGTCTCTTAGGTGATGATAAGGAAGCATTTATGTATATTAGACTAAAATATAGCATTTCTTTTAAAATCAATATAACTGATTTAATATATGTAAGTATGAGTGTACATATGTATATGTATGTTTTTCAGCATACTGTCATAAAATATTATTTATCAGATATAGATATAAGGATAATAATTTTCATGATGGTTTAGCACTTGCCTAGGACATTTCATCCTAAATGTATTGAACCTAGTTAACATTTAATTTTGAATTTAATTAAGGTGGCCTCTGGAATGAAACAGATTTTCTGGTTAAGTATTATGAGTTCTAAATTTATACCCCAGAGGGCAGAGTGTTTTATGTTGATAAAAATCACTTGTCAGCTTCAGATTCTGTTTTAAGTAAAACTTTCATGCCTTTAATTGCACATTTATTTTGACACATTTCAATGCGATAGCATAGTCTCGATCAACAAAACTAACTTAAGAATTCTTTGGCAATTTTTTAATGTGATATTTTCAAGGTCTGTAAAACCCATTTCTGCATAGTTGACTATGACTAGCAATGCTCACACCCTAGTCCTTGAACCTGACTTTAAAAAAGCCAAGTGTATTAAAAGCTGTCACCACAAATGGCAAAACATTCATAAAACTTGGTTTACTTCCAAAAGTAAGTTTATCCTCTAAAGTTGGGTTATTTTGGAACTGTGAATTCTGTAAACTTCTGCTAAAACAATCAAACAGTTTATGATCTTCACTGAGGTACTGAAATCCATCCAAGAACCCAAGACATCTTTTGGTTTACTTAAACAGAAAGCAACAGCTGTTTCTTGAGCAGTAAGAAACTCCTTGAAAAGAGGAAAAACTGGTAGAGGAAGAGAAGAGGAAGAAGAAATTAACCAGATGATGTAAACAAATGTTTTTGGTTTTAGCCGAGGGGATGCTGTCAGCCAGTTAGGCTCTAACTTCCATGGTCTTTAATTGTAAATCTTTTGGTTTCCAGAAATTACACGTGCCTTATACTAATTTTCCCCCTGGAAAACAAAAGTATAAAACAACCTTAAGTAAAAATTTAAGTTCTTTTGTTTTCAAATTTCTTGGTAAAAATAAATACAAATAATCCACCAAAAACATCTCAGCAACTGCTGTTGGCCATAGTAAAACCTATTATCCTCAAACTTTTACTTGTCAATATGTTATTTTTTTAATTTTCACATCTCTGTTACATTTTCACATTTCACACATTTTTTTATACAATTAGGTATCCTTCTTCATTCTACCATTAAAACATTTGATCCTCACTGTGATATAAGTACCAGGTAGGATCCTGGGGATATGAAAATAAGAAACACCTAGATTTGGGTCTCTAAAATTTAGCATCCTATTTTCTAAACAGGATGATGAATTCTTTGAAAGCAAACACCTATTTACTTGGAATCTTAGAAAAGAGAATCTCAGAGTCAAAATGAACCTTAGAAGATATCATCTATACCAATACCCATACCCAAAGTCTCCCAATATGAGATCCTTCCACCCACCATGAGTCAAGGTGGTGAAATGATCACAAATTATTTGCCTCCTTCCTCCTAAGACTCCGTTACAATGACACCCATAAACAAGTATAGTGTGCTAGCTACACACCAGGCACTACTGTATAAATATTACATGTATCAACATATTTTAGCCTCATTACAGCCCTAATGAGGCAGATACTATTATTATCCCCACCTCACCTAAGAGGAAACAGAGACATACAAAAGTGGTAACATCTCGGTCAACTAGTCATCAGAGGGGAAAGGATTGCACTTGGGCAGTCTAGTTTCTGAGTGTGTTCTTCACTATGCTACACTCTGTTCCTGTAGATGCAAAAAAAAAAAGTTTGTAAAATTTTAAAAGTTAAAAAAGTTTACAAACTATTATTTTTCACCCTATATATTTAAACCACTGATATTACTTAGTTTTACTGTCTTCACCTTATTTACCTAACTTTAAAAGGCCAAAATAATTTAGGCCTTTTTCAAAAATTCCCAAAAGAATGTGCCATGGATTCTAGAAGTAATTTCAGAAGAGCAGTCTTAGTATTTAATGCATAGTAGCTTTGTTGGCAGGGAGCTGTCATATTATGGTTACACTTCTCGTCAAGAATGATAGCGTACAAAGGTTCTGTGTCTCATGGACCACATACGTCAACATATCTGGGAGAAACCCTGGCTTCTCAGATGTCCCTGCAGGGTAGAGACAAATGTCACAGGTATGAAAGAAAGGAAAGATCTGTTCGTTTCTACCTGAAAGTTAACAGAAATAAGAGTATAGCAAGCAGACATCATAATCAGCAACATAAACTTGACTGGCTTATATTTTAAGTACTTCAGGACAAGCTATCTGAGAAATTCACCTTGAATGGGCCAAGACCAAGGTTAAGAGGTATCCTATCTTTTCTTTATCTTTTCACTATTTGATAGGTACAATTCTCTTTAGTGAAAGCTCACCATGCTCTATGTCTGATTTAGTTAACCCAGTTAAGATCTGCCTCAAATGTTGAACATGTTTAGCAAAGCAAAAAATTTGAGTTACACATTTTACAAGAATGAATGAACCTCAGTTGAGCTGCAGTAGGATGAGGTGTGCTGCTCTAGAAGTAGGTGTGTCTCCTAGTTCTATGTAACTAATGCCTTGTTCCTGCCTGTTCTCATGTCTCCGCATTAGCCAGTTCAAATCCAGGAAGTCCATGCCCTCCCTTCCAGGCTGATTTTGTGAAAAATTAAAGGAGCAAGAACGTCAGTAGAATTCCTCATCTTATGGTGTAATGCCACCGTAACTTGTAATTAGTGAAGTGCAGAGAGGCACACTCATGTTTGTGAGACTTCTCAAGTGGCTCATTTTCTCTACAACTGAAAAAAAGGGAGACACTGATACTGAGAAAGACCCTGTGTCTTCAGGGTTGACTTGGTTAATTTGTTTCCACTTGAAAGAGAATCTGTTTAATTGCTGAGTGTCTTTCTCTGATTGTCTGTTTTTGTTCCAATAGAAAAATACCCTCCATGGGAGAAATGGATAAATTATTGGAAATTATGATTATTCCCATAATATTGACTTTTCTGATTATCACTCTTTGATATTTTGACTTCCTGGGTAGAAGCATAAGAAGTGTAAAATTCCAGCCTATGATAAGGCTCTTTAGAAGAAGATACCGTGTTCAGTAAATCACACATTTGAGACTATCTGTTTCATCTGTTTCTAGTGCCTTGGAGGTATTATCTGTGAGTTTTAAACTAACATTTTAAGTCTGGAAATTGCCTCTCTACAGACTATTTTGGGGTTTTATTTTTTTACTACCAGAGTTCAAATAATACAATGTCCTTGCCTAAGAAATGTTTTTTTAATGAGGTTTCATATATATATATATATATATATATATATATATATATATATATCTTTTTAAATATTTTAACATTAACACTAGATCTCACCTATCTCAAACTTAAATAACATGTGGCTTATACCTGTGTAATGTTCAGTTGTGGGACAACAATAGAAATTCGTGGACTAGGGGTTGAATGGCTTAACATCTAATGCTAGGTCAGTCATTAATTAGCCAAATTATTTGTCCTTGTTGAGCTACTGTTTTCTCTGTAAAAAATGATGGTGTTATAATTCTTGGTATTCTCCAATGTCTCAAATTCTATGATTCTCTAATACTTGGACTCCATGTGCCATTTCATGTCTCCTGGGAAATTAACATTTTTTAAAAAGTAATTTTAGAAATAATGAAACCATCGAGGATATTTTTTAAACCTTAGTTCAATTGTAATTTATTAATGAATTAACTTTTAAAAACCTCCTCTTCCAGAAATTACAGTGCACCTTTTTTTTTTTCTAACTTAGCTTTTATTTATTTATTTTTTCTTTTTTGCCAGTCATGCTTTGTCAGGCAGCGTATCACTTGCATGCCTTTTCAAGCATTTGCAGAATTGTATGGCATTTCCAGAATGCCACATGAAGAAACAGGGCAATTTCACAATTTTATATAGATAAAAGATAGCTGTACTAGTTGGTGGCCTGATTCCTACAGCAGTCCTGAAAGGCATTTGCTTTCATCTAGTAACTGGCTACCATGGTGGTAATGGATGACTTTTAAACAGCTGTCACAAGCTGAAAACAAAACAAAATTCAAAGCCACCCTCCCACACTATGTAAAGACAGCTTGCCAATACCTAAAACAAATCCTTCTTGGAGCATTTTAACAAACAAACTTTTTTTTTGGTTGTTGTTACACTTAAATAGAAACTCATAAAACTCAAACAAAGGGGCTTCATGTTTCCCACAGATCTGAACTGCCTAACTTTTCTAATGCGATCACAGCAATTAGTGGTTTCCAGATGCATTTCAAATGTGTTAAGTGCCTGCAGGAATTGGCTTTTAAAACATACACAAGTCTTCCAATGCTTCAGTCTCAAGAATCTACTTTAATCCCCACAAGGGACTATGATGTCTGTATAATGTTTGACCAGTTTGGTGCTTAAGTTACAATTAATATTAAATAAGAAAAAAAAAAGTGGAAAATGGAAAAAACTTTGTGTCTTACATACATCTCTAAATTTCCTACTTCTTCTTTAACAATCACATTACTAATTCTTTGTACCCTGGAAATCATGGAAATAACCACTAACTCCCATGGGAGAAAAAGTTGGAATGAATGTGGTTCTGAGAAGAAAGCTCTTGGTGTCACTGGGTCATTAGGCAATCCTGGAAAACTCATTGGTAGACTGGCTAATTGAACTACAAACATGTCAGTCTGACAACATTAACAGTTTATGCCTTGTGCATTGGAATGTTCAGCTTTCTTCACTTGGTCCTGGACAATTTCTCCCTGTCATGAGATTCCTCCTTAACTGGGAGACTGGGTCCTTATGTTTACACCCAGTATTTTACCTCTGATGGAAACTAGACAGAAGGCAAGTTCAGTCCGTCTTCTCCTAACTGGCAGTGCTGAAAACAAGACATGAGAATAAAAACATGGCTTTTGAGAAATATGCGTTTAATAGGTGGTGTCTCCTCCATCGATGGATATATTTATCTTCCCTTGAGATATGGGCAAGTCTCAAGTCCTTCATTTTTTTTTTCTTTTAGATTCCATGTGGACCACTCTTAAATAAAAACGAGAAACACGAAGAGAAACTGGTCATGTTCACCAATCAGTCAGAAGATTCTGAAAGGTAATTGCAGATACTTTATTTAAAGAATGTACGCCTCTAATAGAAGTATTCTAGTTGGAGCACTTCAGCTTTCAGACAAAAGGTTTGAGTCTACTAAAAGTAGATGAGAACTCATCTGGTGTTAGTCACTCAGTCATGTCCAACTCTTTGCGACCCCCATGAACTTTAGACTGCCAGGCTCCTCTGTCCACGGGATATCCCAGGCAAGAACACTGGAGTGGGTTGCCATTCCCTTCTCCAGGGGATCTTCCCAACCCAGGTATTGAATTGGGGTCTCCTGCATTGCAGGCTGATTCTTTACCATCTGAGCCACCACGGAAGCCCTGGAACTTATCTGGATACAGATATCCAGATACAGGTATCAACTCTTTAGTTGATAAGAAAACTGACATTGTGGATAACATCATAGAGCATTTGAACACATTTGATATTTTTTAACATGTTTGGTAAATTTCCCTTGACAAGTTTGGATCTTAAGATAACTTCTTTTGAAGAGCACACATTTTCTCCTAGGAAGCAACCTATTTCGTTAATAAGATGAAGAGTAGCTATATCTTCTATCCTGAGTTATTAAATCCTTAACTCAAGTATAGGGTGAGAAATTTACTCATCCCCTTACCAAAAAACTCCTTCTTCAGTCACTTGCTATATTCTATGATCATTTCTGGCTTTTCTCAAGCTTCATTCTATTCATTGACTCATATAGTTATTTCTTTGACTTCTTATTTGGCACAAGATGTTGTGCCAGCTGCTTCTAGATGGTGAATTGGATCCAGTCCTTTTCCTCTAGCTGTCTGCAATTTAGAAGTAAAATACCACACATACACACACACCCCTAAGTATAATGTATGTTGAATGTTTTGTCTCATAAAAGAGGCACAGATAATCTGCCCTGAGATATGACAGGAAGGTAAGAATCCTATTAATGAGCATTAAGATATAGGTGAAGGATTTATTTGACCTAATTTCTGGCCAAAAAAAAAAAAAAAAAATAGGGGGATAGATGGAAAAAGAGAAAAATGAAAGACTATTCCAGGCTGAAGGCAGAAAGTATACAAAAAAGTTGTGTAGGTAAATTAAGGACTTGTATTGGACCAGTGAGCACTTCAGTTTGACTTCCACATCCAGTATGGAATACAAACTACATCTTGAGCGAGAGACTAAATAGCTGAAGGTTAATTATACAGGCCAATATTTCTCTGTCTATGAAGACAACTTCTTTCAAGTGAAGGGTAATTTAAAGAAATAATTACCCTCAGGTTCTCAACTCAGGGGTACTCAAACTTGAATTCTTATAACCTGTGGATCTGGAGACATAGTCTCAGGATTCTTAGATTATGAAATTTTTTCATTAGAAGAAGCTCATGCGTACTTCCACTGTGAAAACACAACTGTGCACAAGGGAAGCCATTAAGATTTCTGAACAAGGGTTCACAATCAGCTAATCTGGTCACAGTGTCTGAAATTGACAGAGAGGACAACCAGAAGTTTGAATATATGCAGAAATGCTGATTTCTCCATTCCTCTCTACCAATTGTATTCAGTATCAATAACAAGCATTTTAGCCTTTAATTATATAACAAACATTTTACTATGTGCTACTCTTTATTATTCTATAATTTGTGCTGTATGTATAAGTCTTGTCCTCTTAATAAGATATATCTACCTCAAGAAAAAGAAATTGGCATACAACAATATAACCCACTTTAGCAGTAGGTCTACAATAAGCATTGATCAATTTCATATAAGTTGCTATAAAATGTGTAAGTAAAATAGGAATTCACTTCACAGAAGTAGTTTGAGGATTAACTGATTTTATTGACAACCTCTAAGATACTGTAGATATTACAGAAACATAGAAGACAAAATATGACATTGAATGATTTCTAGGAAAGATGATACCCCATTCTCCTTTGGTAGCAAAGGTCAATATTTGGCAAATTTTACCAGTTTAAAAGAAAATAAGTGAAAGAAAGGAAAGGAAAAAAGACGAGAGGATAAAAGGAAGGAAGGAAGGCAGACAAATCTATTGTTTCTGTGTTTTGAAGGTACGTATACCCTACGTAGCTTTATATACCCTACAAAGCTTTTCCTTCTGTATAACCATGATGCAAAAAGGTAGGGATTACCCCCTTCTCCCCCTCTCCCACACACACACCATTTTCTTCCATGTGGAGAATTATAAAGACTGTAAGCTCCTGAGTCCCATTCTATTGTCTCCTCTCCTCAGCAACCCAAATTAATGTTTAGATTCTCTCCATTTACCTATGATGAAAATTACTCAGAATTTAGTAGTTAACATATTTTTTTCCTACAGTAGTAAAATTTTTGTTTTTCTAAGAGAATGAGAGAGATAGGTCCTTTGACTGTAATTTAAAGTGCTCAGGAGATGGTTTTCAGGTTAATGTTTTTAGTGTATGTGACTTGGGGTCCAGAAGAAGGATAGGTGGATGAAGGCTGCAGTCCATGCCTTCATCCTAGGGTGAGAAAGACAGAAGAAAGGAGGGCTGTGAGAGGGAACCAAATAGTGAGTGCTGGTCATCTTCCCCTACTTCTCTCCTAAACCATTTTAGGTTCTGCAAGGGTAAAATTTGCCACCTCATGAAGGTGATACGCTAGTATCATGGTTGTCATACCAAGCTTCTTTTTAAAGTAAAGGAGCAGAGGAAATAACTTTGATCCCAGTGAGAAACTATCACAGTAAATTAATATTTTGTGGTTTTTATATTTCCTGTTAACAGAATCTCAAGTCACATTATTTAAAAAGCAACCCAGGGGACTTCCCTGGTGGTCCAGTGGTTAACACTTCATCTTCCAATGCAAGGAGTACAGGTTTGATCCCTGGTCAGAGAACTAAGGTCCCACATGCCTCAAGGCCAAAAAACTAGAACATAAATCAGAAGCAATACCGTAACAAACTCAATAAAGACTTGGAAAGAAATGATCCACGTCAAAAAAAAAAAAAATCCCACTCAACGTATGATGATCCTGGGGTCATCCTGGTTTTGATGTTCTAAGACCAGCTCCTGTTTGAATTCTTCTAAAGCCAATTTTTTTTCCCTTGTTCTAATGTTCATTTTAAGAAATGTAAGTATTTTTTTAAATAATGTATTCAGAAAATTATAATTATTACCTAGCAAGAAAAACTATTATGATTCATTATAGACTCAAGTAGAGGTAATCTCAGTAGAGGAAAATGAATGTTAAATTCCCATGACGTACGCCCTTTAACTGGCATGAAACCCATTCATGTTAGCACTTGTTCATCCTCTGTATTGAACACGGTCAACTACAATCTCTGTTAATTCATTGTCTTCGGGGAACAATGTACTGGTTTTGAACACTATAGTGGTTAAGGACCTCCTGTGTCTTTCCCCATTCAAAGCATTTAAATGTCTTTATGTAAAACACTGGTGGGCTTAACGAAAACTAAACAACAGGCTTTTTTGCCACATGAATAGTACACTCCCCTCCAGATGTAGTATTTGGCAGCCAAACAGCTGCTGACTATTAAAGGTCCCTTAAAAGCTTCATTTTTTGCTTATAAAGGGAATAGTAGTGTAGGGACGTTTATGGGGTGATAGGCAGATGTTTTGGTTGGAGCAAGACTATGTGGTAAGCAAGAGCTAACACGATCATTTTTATGATATTATCAGCATTTTTACAATTTTTTTGGCCTCTGTTTTTAACCTACTTCTTACCTGACTCTAAATTAAACTGTTCTGGAAGGGCAGAATAAAAGCCCAGTTATACAGTTGCTATCCACATGGTGAAGAGAGGTTAATGGTATCATCTGCTTGCTCAGACACACAAATTTTCTATCCATTCAAATTGGTTCGTCAGATAAAAGAGAAATTAATTTTGAAGTGCTGAGTAAGTATTTTAAAGACTCACTGAACCTCACAGATCACCATCTATTTTTTTCTCATAAATTTTGCTAACTCTTAGTCATACTTTAATTTAAATAATTTCAGTATTAAAATTCATGAGACAAATCGGTCAGTTTTTCAGAAATTCTATTTCTTCAAAGTAATAAACATCAAAGTTACATTGTGCTTCTAGACAACAGTCTAATTAAATCTCTTCTCTTTCCAAAATGAGAAAGTGGCGTCTCAAGCATGTGTCTATGTGTAATCTATTGCATAAAATTAACTTTTATTGGATGGATACATTCACAGTGACTTAAGACAGGGGGCTTTTAGAAAACTTGTGTTTTCAGTCAGACTCCGTAAAGCATATTTCGGAAAAGGTTTCTTTTTTCCGTGCAAACAGCACCCATGGGATGAACATAGACCTTCCACTTACTAAGGACTAGCTTAAACAAAATGCCCAAGAAGATATCCACAGTATATCTTTCGTTCTGAATGTTTTCAATACTTCATGCCCACATAACTTTTTGTTTGATTCAGTGCAACAATCATTCCTAAAGTTCTTGCTATATGCTAGGAGGTGTTTGAGGAAATACTGTTGGAAAAAATACCAAGTTAGAATTCTCCAAAGGAGCTACTTGTCAGTTATCTAGGAAGAACCTCTCAGCATGAAATTTTGTCTCTGGAGATTGAATCTGCCAGAATTTACCTCAGCAGAAACACTTTTGGTATTAATTGTGGAGGCATAGAGCTCTCTTGGAAGTCAAACTAGGCCCCAGTCAGGCCACAAAAAACATACAGCCAGCTGAATGAGTTAAAAGTCTGTACTTTCTGTGTGGCCGCTCTTAAGAGTTGCCCTTTTTTGGCAGAAGGCTTCAGAGTTTAAGCTAATGGCTTGCCCTCCGATGTGGTTATTAAATACCTGGACCCTTCTAAGGCAGTACATTTAGTTTTCATGGCTTGAATTTGACACAGTTCAAAGGCAAGCAACAGGACGGAAGATATTGTGTTAGCAAAATTCCAGTTTTCAGGGCAATTTAGAAGCAACGAATTGACAACTCTCTTTATGCTGTCCTGATAGGGAGTTGTATCAAAACACTAAGTGAGGAAAGGACACAGAAAAATGAAGAG